AAGTTGCTGCTGTTTTTCTGGGATATTGCTGTGGTGGGAGCCACCCGAGAGCACTGCTGAGCAGGGGCGGCAGGTTTGTATAATTTTTGATGATGCCCAGAATGGGTCTAGTTCATCCCCCTCCCTCACCCGCCCTGTAAGCCAATATATATTTTATTAAAAAAATGTAAAAATGGACTGGAAACCGTAAGCGTTTAACAGTTTCCCTTTATTGCAAATAAATATGGAAACAATCAAGCACTCTTTGATCAATAACCCTCGGTGGCTTGCATTTTCTCGGGAGTCTCTGCTGTCCTGACTCGGACTCCTGCCCTTTTCCCTGCCCTCAGCCCTCCTGAGACCTGCCCCCCTCCACCAGCCCTTCTCTCCCCCCTGTGCCCTCTCCTCCAGTAGCCTCACTCTGATCATGTGAGCTACCCCTTCTCATCCCCTCCCCTAAAACCTTCCTCTGCACTCCTGCATCAAGTCCAGCCCCCTGCTCTAGGCAGGACCAATCCCAACTAAATCAACCCGGCCAGGGCTTTGTCAAGCCAACACTTAAACACCTCTAGGGATGGAGACACCACTACTTCCCTAGGTATCCCATTCAAGTGCTTCACCACTCTCCTAGTGAAATAGTTTTTCCTAATATCCAACCCAGACCTCTCCCACCACAACTTGAGACCATTGCTCCTTGTTCAGCCATCCATCACTACTGAGAACAGCCTCTCTCCATCCTCTTTGGAACCTCCCTTCAGGAAGTTGAAGGCTGCTATCAAATTCCCCCTCACTCTTCGCTTCTGCAGACTAAACAGACCCAACTCCCTCAGCCTCCCCTGCAGGTGTCTGCCCTTCTGCTTCACCCCCAGAAACCTCTGGCACCTGCATCTTCCCTTACCTCTGCACCCTTCTGGTGTCCCGTCTTCCCTCACTGCCCCAGCCCCCTTTTCCCTTTATTTCCTTGATGCTCACCCCCTCACCATCCTCTGCCCTCATTACCCTGTGCCCTCACACATGACTTGCTCCATCCCCACCTTCCTCATGCCCACCCCTTCTTTCAAGCCTTCTCCCAGCACCTCCCCCTCTAGCCCCCAATGACCTTACATTTCCCTCTCCTCTTCCAGCATCACCCTGTCCCGCCTCCCACTGACACCTCACCTCCTGCCCTTTTCCTCAGTCTCCACTTGGCCACGTGGCATTTGTCTCTCCTCCACCCTGTCCCTTGGTACCTTCCCCTTTCTTCTCCTGACTTGCCCCCCTCCCCTCAGCACAAGCCCCTTCCTCTCCCACCCCTTCCCCCTATTTTTCCCCCTCCCCACCGCACTCCACTCCTCTTCTCCTCTCCTCTCCTCTCCCCTCCCCACTTTCTTCCTTCTAGTTTGCAGCACTGGAGTCTGTGATCGGGCCCCAGCTGCTTCCAGGGCTCCAGACCACTTGCCGGGCCTGGAGCTGGGCTGTGAGGTGCAACTCTGGGCTGCGTGGTTTTAAAGTCCCAAGCCGTGACATCATGCCACACCCGGGCGTCTCCCCTCTCAGCTGTTGCACGGCGTTTCAGCACACTGCGCATGCACTCCCTCCACCCCACGGTGCCCCCCGCTGAGGCTGCGGCACCCCATCATAATCCCCCTCCTTCTCCAGCAGCCACCAGCCAGACCTGTGGCCCTTCGGAGAATGGGGCCCACTCCAGGCAGGGCGGGGGAGAGACCCAGCTCCAAATATTGGTGGAGCAGGGCCCCCATCTCTGAATATTCCTGGAGGATGGACCATATAACTTGCCGCCTATGCACCAGAAAGAATCTAAGGATTTTTTTTAGTCAAGTAGCAGAACCAGAAGATGTAGCACTTTGCCCATATTTCTATTAATCCAACAACATTGAACCATTTCAATAAAACAGAATTAAAATGACTGCCAACACTTTTGTCTTTGATTTGGATTCATGTTCAGTTTCACTCAGCAGAGAGTGCAAAAGCCATGTTCTACTGGCATTATTTTCTGAATTCATTAGACTTAAGCAATGCTAAGTGCCTAAATCCCTTTGTGGATCTAGCCTAACTGCTATTTTAGCTATCTAAATCCAAAGCTTAAGGTGCGTCTACACTGCACCGTTATTTTGAAATAATGTGAGCGTCTACACGGCCATTCCATTATTTCGAAATAATTCTGAAATAATGGACGACTTATTCTGAAATCTGTAAACCTCATTCTATGAGGAATAACACCTATTCCGAATCAGCTATTTCAAAATAAGGTGTGTGTAGACACTCTGCTGCTGCTATTGCGAAATAGTCCCTCACCCAGGGCCATTCTAAGTTATTCCTCCCCAGGGCCTCCTGGGGCTCTAAATCAAGATAGCATGTCTACATTAGGCAAGCCTGCCTCAGACTAATTTTGACGCTTTCCTACAGTGTAGACAGATTATTTTGAAATAGCACATTTCAGAATAACTATTCCAGAATAGCTTATTTCAAAATAAGCATGCAGTGTAGACGTACCCTCAGATGCTAAAAAACACCCCAGTCAGTTGCCACGTAATCCTATAGATGGCTATGTTTCTGCCAGTAAAGACCCTGAGGTCTGGATAATCCTGATGCATCAAGCTTTAGTCCTGACACCCAAGTACCTATCTCATGCCTAAGTCCAAATGGGAATGTGGTCAGAGAGAGTGAGAATTAACTCCATAGCCCGGAGGCTCCCCTGGGATGTTCAATTCCCTGTTCCAATGCTAATTATCAGTTGCTCTTGTTGCAATCTCTCAGTTGCTCTTGTTTTGCACAGTGGAATGGCTTCAGCAATTAGTCACTGAGGACTGAGAGATACCTACCCCAGAATATCCCATAGCCTAGTGGTTAGGGCACTCTATTAAGAGGTGGGAGATTGGATTCAAATCCCTTATTCAAATCAGGCCAACAGGGTCTCCTACATATTAGCTGAGTGCTCGGAACCAAAGGCAGCTGCGACCAACTGTATTTTGTGGGAAGAGCTTAGGTGCCAAAGATTCATGACTGGTTCTCAAGCAGAGATAAGTGCCTCCCTCTGACACAGACTTAGGCTTTTGATGATAGCTCCTACTCCTCTCTGGTATTTCATGTCTGCTTTGATTTGTAACTTTTACTATGTATGCTAATGCATATGTACAGGGTTTGACAAACGGCGGCAAAAACCGCTCGCCAGCCCCGTACTGCGCAAGAGCCGCATTGTGCATGCACACGCCACGAATGAACAGGGCATGTGGCTGAAATCTACTTGCCACGGGCGAGTAGATTGTATAGTTTGTCAAGCCCTGCATATGTATAACAGGAATCATTAAGACATAATTGTTGGAAACTATGGTGAGAGGAAATCATCCACATCACAAAGTATTTCACATGTTAATGGACAATCAGTAAGATATTTAAAACAGAGATTAAGGTATCTATATAGCAAAACAACAATTACAGTTTCCCAAGACACATGCAACATGTACATTATAACCATCAGCAATTGCAAGTACAACAAAATAACCTGAATTCTCATAAAGTAGAAGAAAAAGAGACATCTATTTTGGAGAGGGGATGTATTAATTCATAAAAATTAAGAGTTAACATTCGGCATATTTTACTGTACTCTAATTCAGCCTTAAATCTGTAAATATTTGATTAACCACACGATTACAATTTGATTTGACAAAATAACTCTTCTATGCATAAACAGGAAAGCCTCCCAGATCATTACAGTATAATTAACCAAGTTTCATTCCGCTGTTCCTGCTGGAGTAGGATTTATAGGAATCCTTACAGTGCTATTTCAGAGCATAATCCTGTTAAGGAAGGATGCAAGCAAAGAAGAAAGGAAGGAAAAAAAGACAGACAGACATCTTCTCCCCTTCTCCCCCCCACAGACACCTTCTGCCAAACCTGCAGAGAGAGAGAGAGAGACACACACACACACACACACACACACACACACACACACAAAGTTTAGAAGTTCATTTATAATTTCCATCATCAAAGACTGGGCAATGGAGGGCATATCATAAGACTGCTCCCTGGAGCTCCAGTGCTAACATGAGGCAATATCTTTGAAACTGACTCGTTAGTAATGATTATCTGGTAGATTTCTCAAGCCCTTTTAAAAATTTTAACTTGTCACTTCTGTGAAAGATTTAAAAATTGAAAAGGGAAGACAAACATTTTAGGATATTTGGGAGTTGTTTATTTTAACTTTCCCTTATCTGTAAATCTTGTTCAGAAGTTTCAAAAAACAGTGTCATTCCTTTTCATTTGAAGATACTGATTTTCCCTTTCTACCTTGCCCCATGAGCACAAGACATAGCTTTGTTATGTTTACTGCTCACATTACTTTCAAGTGAATAACTGATGTCACACAGTTCTAAGAACGAAGTATTTAGCTAACCTACACTTCCTTTGCTGTCTAACTGCAGCTGTTAACAGTGGCTATTTTAGTGTGTGTGCATGTGTGCACCTGTGGGGGAGGGACTGCTGCTGAATGACTACATTCTGTATTAAAAATAGGTATTTCAGACTCTGTCACACCAGATACAATTTAAGGCTGATCTACTTTGGGGCCCAAACTAGCACACTTTGAGAACGGACCGTTTTCCTGACTTCCACCACACAATCACCATCACAATCAGTAGTGAAAGTAATTTAGAAGTGTTACCAATACACAGGCCCAGCTCTGCGCACCCTGAAGGGTCAGGGCCTCAAGCACTAGGGGAAGGGCAGGGAGCCAGCATCCCCCAGGGAGCCCTTCGGGGCTGTACAGTGCATGCCACTTGGAGCTCTGGTAGTGATTTAAAGGGCTCAGGTCTCTGGCCAGTGCCAGGGCAGCAGTGGCCTCAGAGCCCCTTAATACCTTTTAAAATCACTGGGATCTGGAGCCGCTGCCCATTCCCCCCACCCACCCATTGGCAGCCCTGCCAGTAGGGTCCATCAGCATTGTGTCAGCTTCCCCTTTTGCCCCCCTCCTCCCTGTCAGCAGCTTTGGGAAGGGGAACAGGGAATGGCAGCGTTTTGACATCGGCTAGGAAAGGCAGGTATCAGCGACCATGTCTCACTGGTACACTGTACTGGCCCTCTTTCACCTCTGACTACAGGCCAAATCTCATCTAAAAAAAAAAACTCAGTAGCTTAAAGCAATTATCTTTGTACGCTAATAAGAAGAGAGTTTGTTGGGAGTGAAAAAATAAAAACGGACAACAAATGACAACATGGAATTTTTAAAAGCAAATGGACTCAAGCTGAACAAGTCAGTTGATCCTAACCAAATAAGATTTAGAACTTCTCACTATTGCATTAGCCAAATATCATAGAATAAGATTAGACAAATATTTTTTACTTAAAAATTACCCATAAAGTTATAAGTCTGCATAGGTACATAGTTTTTGTACCTCCACACTTACATTCTTTGCCTAGGAAGAAGGAATAAAAACACAGGTGATTGATGCTCAGATAGAGCCAGCCTTGGCGAGGAACTTTACCCTTCCAGCAGCAGCATGAGTAATAGGTAATTAACTTCTCTGCTTCCGGGAAATTAAATCTGGCTTCAAATTTCACTAGTGCCTCTCGAAACTTCTCAGGATCCTCCTCCTGCTGTGCTAGTTTACTGCTGGTCTCCTCCGCTATCAGTGCCTGATTCAATGACAAGATAGCATGTTAGGGCAAACTAGTAGTTTGTCCAAACTAGTTATTACAAGCTACCAGTACATGTTTAAAATCCTGATTCTCTCTTAGGAAGGTATCCAAGTTGATTTGCAAGTTATACAGACATTTACCTAGTATTTGCAGGCTCTTTATCTACATTTCCAAACCCAGTCTTCTTTTTGACACTAGATTATAATTGAAAAAATTGTTCAAACGACTATTTAAAATCTTGATATCAATAATGACTTGCATTGATCACCATAATTATTTAAAATAACTCAGAGAAAGCCATAAACATTACTGGAATTCCACTCAGCATATTATGGCTGTAGAAGCTTTTATTTTGCTTACACAGCACAAAGCTACAGTAAGAAATGTTTATATTGATCAGTGCTATTACCAAGAAACAGTCAAGTGAAGTATGCCATAACTTGTAATAAGCTTTTAACTATTTTTCAAAGACTTAAAATACGTTTATAACAAACTAATTATGTGCTGTGTCTTTTCATTCCAGTTCTACAGCCGGTCCCCGAATTGCAAACGGTCAACTTACTACTGTTTGCATTCACAACTAAAGCTGTTGTAAATGGCGGGCCCCGAGTTACGAACGCGATCTGCGCTTACGAACAGCGCGGTCGAGTGTAACTCTATGGGGTCTGACTTACGAACAAACCGAGTTATGACCAACTGCTTGGTCCATAACCAGTTCATAAGTCGGGAAGAGGCTGTACAATAAATAAGGAGGAAAGACAGTTAAATGCAAATTAGTTGGCTAAAAGCAAATTCACTCCCGGTGCTACAAAATACAAATCAGTCCTCCCGGTATATTGTAATCCCATATGCCAGATGTCTGTAGCAAAGACAAGAGAGCTGATAGAATAATAAAAAATATGGGCCTATTATTGAGTATGAAACCTGCAGAATTCTAGGTTTCCTAGGCTATGTCTACACTACAGGCTTCTTGGAAGAGATCTTCCGCAAAAACTTCTTGTGCAAGAGCACATCCACACTGCAAAATTGCATTGAAAAAGTGATGCACTTTTGCAAAAGAGCATCCAGACTGCATGGACGCTCTCTTGAAAGTAAGCTCTGCTATGTACAGAATGGCCACCAGGGCACCTGTGCTTTTTTCTCTTTCCATGCCAAAAATCCCCCTTCCTGGTCCACACACACCTTTTTGCAAAAGAGCTCTTTCGCAAAAAGGCATTCTTCCTCGTAGAATGAGGAATACCTATGCCGGAAAAACTCCTCTGTTGTTTCGATATTTTTGCACAAAAACACACTTAAAATGTGGTTGATCTGCGATTTTATTTTTAATGGCCATTTTTCCGAAAAAAACTGTAGTGTAGACATAGCCCTACTCTCACTTCCATGGCCACAAGATTATCAAAAGATCTGAGTTTTATTCACACCTTTCACAGCACTTGGATGTACAGGGCGTAATAAGGAAAGCAAGCCCACTGAACTACTGCCAGAAACAGGAATTAAAAAAAAAAAAAAAAAAAAAAAACCTTCTCAACAAGGTGCATGTTTTACAGATGTTACACAAAGGATTAAGTAGGTGATGGTGCTATTTTTCCCCATTTTGGGATAAAATGTAGATATACAGACTATTTGGAGCCAGTCTTTTAAATACATAGTCCCTGGATAGAATTCTGAACATATCTGAATGCCTTTTTTTCCTGTAACATCACAGATCATTTACTTGCTATCCATGAGACCAAGGATATCAATGATGTTAGAGATTCATGTCTAAGATATCAGCGTGATTCTGTGCTGACTACACTCTAACATTAAAAGATTGAGCCCCTTGAGCATAGAACACTAGGACTGGAAGGGACCTCGAGAGGTCATCGAGTCCAGTCCCCTGCCCTCATGGCAGGACCTAGTACCACCTATGTGCAGGGACAATACTCTCTTAGAAACCCAAGCAATCTCCCCCTTCCAAGTGTTTGTGTGTGACCAAGCCTGGCTTCTCATACAAGCCCTGCCCTTGGACAGAGGGACCTATCACATCTTACACATGAGTTTTATGCTAGTAAGTTCAGTCATCCTAAGGAGCCCGGCTGCCACTGCTAGTGCAGCAGCCACGGTAGTCGGAATCCCGGGCCCCTCTGATTCACTGCACCAGGAGTTCCATGGGGCTGGGATGGGGGAGGGTTGGAGGCCAGGGTGGCAATGAAGCTGGAGGTGGGGGGGCAGCGCCATGCTCTGGGCAGCACTGAGGGCTAGCTGACCTTGGTCCTGCCCTTTCCGTCTGAGCCTTCCGGGGTGTGGAGCAACCTCACACACACATACCTTTCCCTAGGATCTCCAGTGGCTGTCGGTGCATGGATAGGTGTAAACAGGAAAGACGGATGGGATGTTTTAGGAAAGGGTGAGAAAGACAGAGAGATTGGGAGAGAGGAAGGAACCAGGAAAAAAAAAAAGAAGGTACACAATTATAGAAATACAATGTGCAGGATCAAGAAAACAGAACAAACAGATACTGAAGAAAATTCAAGAAACAATACAACATGATCTATTACATGAAAGAAAATTGGGGTAAATCCAGAATGGGAAAGAATGTATAATGGAAGTGAAAAAAATGAAGTTGTCGACCTTATTTGCAGAGGTACTAAGACCCTGAAGCTCCCACTGACTTCAGTTGGAGTTGCAAGTGCTCAGCACCTCTGAAAATCAGCCCCTAAAAGTATTAAACAAAAGGTAATTGGCAGTATATTACATTTAACTACAGTACATGACAGACTACACAGCTGTTATTCCTGTAGCTTCCTGAGGCATGGTGCAACTGGTATTTTTAATCATGTTGTAAGCACCGAGGCATGTGGATATTAGATGAAAATACTATGTAAACATACTTTCCAGCTCTTTCCAATGCTGGATGACAGCATACTCATGAGATCACCGATATGGAATGCGGAAATCAAGAAAAACATCTATCTATATATTTTAGAAATGTGCCTCTGTCTGTCTTTGAGTGTTTGTTCAAGAACTCCTCCTAAACAGTAAGGGCTAGGACCACCAAATTCGGTGCACAGCTTCCTCTTCTCCTAACAAAGCAAGATCAGGATTTGGTTGTGCCAAGAAAATGGGACAGTTTTCCAGAACATACAAAGGGAGGGGTGCTTACTCACAGTGACCAGGGACAGTGAGTACAGGAGAGAAATATACTACAGAGTGGCCACTGCAGGCAGCCGTGCCACCAAGAGAGTGGCCAGCTCGGGACAGAGATCGCCATCTTGCCTCCCACCAGACCAAGTAAGCGGGATCCTCCCACCGAGGTGACTTCCCCCACTGGCCTGCCCACCCCGTGAGAGGCCATGGGGAAGGGAGACACCCCCACCCCCACTACCACCCCATCGCCATCCCAAGAGGTGTCACGGGGGGAAAGGAAACAGCTTCTGCTGAGAGAGGCTGGGAAAGGCCATAGAAGGAGGGAGAAAGCCCCCCACCCACCCCTCCTGTACCCCTCATGCCCTCAGCATCCTGCCCTGAGTCACCCATATTCCCAAGGCCCTGTCCTGACTCCTACACCCCCTAAACTGCCAGCCCCCTGTCCTTAAGGACCCGGGCAATACCAGGTGAGTCTTCTAGTTTCATAACTAATATAATTATGACCAAAACAGATACAATTAGATGACTTTGTAGCTGTATCAAAAATACCATCTAGATGGGCAAAAGCGAATATGGACACAAACATTTGGTAGACTGGTATAGTTTTACAATATCAAGAGTTATTTCTACCAATTTCTTTACTAGAAGGCAAGGGAAAGATGAAAGCAAGACAACTTTTCTTACCTTTACTTTTCCTTTGACAAAACTAACAATATCTTCTTTATTGTCAAAAACAGACAAAGTATGGAGTAAGTTTTGCTCCAGCCATTCCCAGTGCTGATTTATCTCTTCTAAAGTGGCACCTAGAAAGATAAAAAAGAGCTAATTAAAAGCCATGTCATTTCTTTCACAATTTCTTCTAACTAGAAAAAGAAATAACCCGCACTTGTGACATAGTACATTAAGAGAAATTAAATTTCTGAAATCACAAATGGAAACTATTAGCAGCAAACAGGCAAACAAAATGTTACAGTTCAAGCCATAATTAGAGAAAACAAAGGTAATACTGCTTTAAGAAGTAGTTTTAGTACTTTTAGTTTTCAAAGATCTGAATACAGGCTCTCTGCAGGCAAGTGTTGCTGAGTTTCAAAGCCAAAAAAAAAAAAAAAAAAAACAAAGCTGCTTACTGCCCTCTCAGGAAGTGGCTTATTTTGACATAATTTTCCTTAAGCAGCAGTAAGAAAAAACTTTGAATTAGGATTTAACTATCCCTGCTCTCCCCACAAACAAATGTTCTCTCTCACACATACACACCCATGTGTGTGCCTTCGGGAAGAGTTTACATGACCTGTAATCTGGTAACCTGCTTGTGAAGGCTTTTTGTAAAAATCGAGGTATTGGATACCAAAGGGATCTGGTTGTTTTAAACACAGCTTGACAAGCCTAAAATAAAAATGTCTGCAGTTTTGGGGAGAATTGGGTAAACAGCATGTAGTCAACCTATGGAACTCCTTGCCAGAGGAGGCTGTGAAGGCTAGGACTATAATAGAGTTTAAAGAGAAGCTGGATAAATTCATGGAGGTTAGGTCCATAAAAGGCTATTAGCCAGGGGATAAAATGGTGTCCTTGGCCTCTGTTTGTCAGAGGCTGGAGAGGGATGGCAGGAGACAAATCGCTTGATCATTGTCTTCGGTCCACCCTCTCTGGGGCACCTGGTGCTGGCCACTGTCGGTAGACAGGATACTAGGCTAGATGGACCTTGGGTCTGACCCAGTACGGCCGTTCTTATGTTCTTAACAGAATAAGCTTTGAAACATGATGGATTTCTTTAAAAACAATACACTTTATTCATTTTAAGGACCATTTGTAGATAACGGATACCAAAATGAGATTTTAGTCTTTAGCAATTAGCTTCAGGCAAACTGCTAGTTGAACGCTACTGCTTCAAAAAAGCTGTAGCTGTATGTCATAAAAACATGAGAACAGAAGAGCAAATGCAAGGAATAGAGAAAAGTTGTAAAACAGCGCTATTAGAAGAAAAGCTAGCCACCCCATTACAAGACAGCTCCTGCTGGTCAGACAGTAAACAGGATAGGACTTGCTCCTCCCTCATTAAACAAGATAGGTAAACAGGCATGATGTGCTCTTTTCAGTGCCCAGCTGGGAAGAGGGGTAACAGTAAAAAAAATAAAAAAATATATAAAAAAGGAGGGGGGAGACGAGCAGAGCATGGAAGAGGAAAAAGAAAATTCAAGTACAAATCTCATCACAAAACATATGAGTTTTTAAACATCAAAGAATACTGCATGTCGTCTCACAGCAAGATGATAAATTTAGCTAAACATTTTCCACCTTCCTCTGTTAGGTTTCCCATAAGGAAAGCCAACTGGCAGGGAAACTTTCCAAGATTTAACTTCCACAACAGGAAGATCTTGTGATGGACCTTCATAAATATCATTAATCAAGGCAAAAAAATCATAAAGAAAGAACACAGTCATTATGTGTCCTGTGCTAATGTTTAAGAGGGCTGCATGTTGTAGGGTATTAATTAAGAACACTAGGCCTACTGTTTTCACAGGAGCGGTTATACTATGAAATAATAAATTGAACTTTTAAGCATGGGCCATGTAGATAGTGAGTAAACATGGTGGGGAACAAATCTGTCTGTGTGCACACAGTCTGGAATGAAGGATCACAGAAAGGAGGAGTATTCCATAATAGTTGCCACATTCCTTTTTGTGAAACATCTTGTCCAAGCACTGGTCACCTCTCACCTCAAGTGCTGTAGATCTTTTCTCTGCCTTACTATCTACTCATTCATTCTGTTCAAAATGCTGCTCAAGTTGACTTCCTTCTCTCTGACCAAAGGGTCCGCTAAAGAAAGTCAGGTTCTGTTGTGTTACTGACTGCCATAGCCAGTCCTAGCAAGAAGCCTGCCTCTTTCCCAGTTGCTGAAGGAAGCTTTTCATAATAAGAAGATTACAGAAGCAAGTAAAATTTGTATTGTTCTTATTGTCTTTATGGATTTTTTGCTCATAAAACTGCTAACTTGCTTTAACTACAAAAGTCACACAAGAAATAGAACAAACACCATATTAGGTGAGACCAATGATCCAACATCCTTTCTTTTAACAACAGACAATACAAGACACTTCAGAGGAAATGAACAGAACAAGCCAATTATCAAGTAATCTGCCCCGTTATCTAGTACCAGCATCAGGCAGTAAGAGGCTTTTCCATCTTGGCTAACACGTATTGATCTATCTGTCCTCCATGACCTTACTGATTCTTTTTTCAACCAGTTTATACTTTTGTCCTTCACAACATTCCCTAGTAAGGAGTCTATAGGATGACTGTGTGTTGTGTGAAGTTGTGAGTTTTAAACTTGCTGCCTATTAATTTCATTGGGTAATCCCTGGTTCTTGTGATGTGAAAGGGTAAATAACACTTCCTTCTTCATTTTCTCCATACTAAGCATGATTTTATAGGACTCTATTTTATCCTCCCTTCGTCATCTTTTTTCCAAGCTGAACAGTCCCAGCATTTTTAATCTCTTCTCAAGGAGAAGCTGGTTCTATACCCCAACCTGTTGCCCTTCTCTGTCACTTTTCCAGTTCTAAATGATGTATCTTTTTTTCAGATGGGGCAACCAGACCTGCACACAGTACTCAAGGTGTGGGCATACCATGGATTTCTACAAAAGCATTATGATATTTCTCAACTTATTATCAACCCCTCTACTACTGGTTCTTAACCTTGTTCACTTTTTAAAATGGCTACTCTTCTCTGAAAATGTCTGCTCAGTCTACAGTGACTCCAAGATCTCTTTCTTGAGCAGCAACAGCCAAATGAAACCCCATTATTTAAAAAGTATAGTTGGGATTATATTGTCCAATGTACATTACTTTGCATTTATCAATATGGAATTTCATCTGCCATTTTCTTGACTAGTCATCCAGTTGAAAGACCCCATTGAAACTCTTTGAGATGAACACAGAATTTGCATTTTAAAATGGTGAACTCATTTTCTTCGTTACAAGAGAAATAGTTACGATCATGAAGTATCCTCTCACAAAACATTCCCTCTTTAGTTCTGTGTTCTTCCCTTTCAAATAAAAAGTCTCAAGTGAACAGCAATTATGAAAATGAGGAAATGGTAATGACTAACCACAACCAAAAATAACAGACTCTCTGCAAGCTCTCCCTCAAATATAAAAATGTACACCAGTGCTGGCCTTCTAGCCTTTGTTCCAGTTTCGTAACTTCAAAAAACACTAAAAATCATACAGTGGTTTTGTGATACAGACAGACATCCATAGGGCAGTTTTTTTTCATTCCTGGTGCACTTCCTGCAGGGGTACAAGGGAGAGCATATACACATTTGCTTTCAAAATGTAATATGAGCTGATGAAGAGATAGCTATCAGAGTTTTCAGTAAGCCATAAACTACAACTTCAATGTGTGAACTGTCCTACTCATTTCAATTAATACTAAATCTAACACCATTGGTGGTATTTTAAATGTCAACATTGTTAGCAATTTCACCGCTCAACTCATGATGAAAAAAAGAGAGGAAATATATTATGAAGGTCTACACCAGCTCTTTCCAAAACACTAGGAAGAATGAATAACTACCTAGGAGAGCACAGAAAGTGAATTAAAATGCATGCATGAAAATGAGTAGGCCTTAACACCACACAGTGGGGTTGCTATGAATTACAATGAGTTTATTTTTCTGAAGAAGAATTCAGCTTCAAAAACTATGGTAAAAAGTTCATTAAAAATTAGTTTAAAAATTAGTTTAACAAATTCAAGTCTTCAAAGAACATTTTCTTATGAGTCACCTAGCACTAAGGTTCCCAGCCATCCAGTTTTCGACTGGAACCTCCAGTCCAAAAGGATTTAGCGGCTCCAGTCAGCCCTGATGACCAGGCCATTAAAAGTCTGGTTAGGAGCACAGCAGGGTTAAGGCAGGCTCCCTGCCTTTCCTGGCTCCATGCAACTCCCAGAAACAGCCAACATGTGCCTGAATCCCCTAGGCCAGCGGAGGGCAAAAGCCTCTCAGTGTGCTAGATCCGGCCCACCTAGGGCTTTGATCCAGCCCGCAAGGCAGTTTCAGGCCCCACCCCCTAGCTAGTTGCCTTGGCGTGGGAGAGGGGAGCAAGCCCTTCTAACTGCTTCTATTTAAAGGGCTCACGTCTTCCCCACACCCAGCAGGGAAGGGACAAGCCCTTTACATAGAAGCAGTTGAAAGGGCTGGCATCTCTGGCTTCCTAGCAATGAGCTATAGGTGCGGGGAGCCCTCCCAGCTGTTTCTAGTTAAAGGGCTGGCACCTTCCCCGCACCTGTCAGGCAACACACTGCCTAGCAGCTGCAGGGAACAGGAGAGCCCTTTAAATACCAACAGCTGGGAGGGCTCCCAGCTCCTCTAGCAAGTTGCTGGAGATGCAAGCTGTTTCTATTTAAGGGTCTTTCCTGTTCCCCATGGCTTCTAGGCAAGCGTTGCCTGACAGGCGCAGGGAAGGCATGAGTCCTTTAAACAGAAGCACTTAAAAGGGCTTGAGTCTCTGACTCCCTCGCAACGCCTCAGAGCACGGGTGCTCAACACGCAACCCACAGTGTTTGTTTGCGGCCCACAGCGCGGTTTGGGTTTACGCGGGGCTCAACACGCAGCCTGTGGGAGGGATCCTTTGAACATGGCCTCCACTGGAAACACGCTCCACATCAGCAAGTCAATATGATGGTCTTCTGTTGATATGCATTTTAGTAGTTAAATTCCTGGATTGTCATTGCTCATTAAAAGTGCTGTCATATGGGTGGAAATGGGGTAAATATTGCATTTTATTAATAGCAGCAAAACTGACTTAAACAGGGCCTGTGTTTTGTGAAGTCTTGCCTTAATCTTTGTATTCATGCCTTTCAGTGTGAAAGAAGCTATTTGCATATATATTTGCATTTAAGTTGCAGCCCTCAGCATGTGCTGTGAGTATCATTGTGGCCCCCAGGGCTTCCAAAGTTGAGTAACCCTGCATTAGAAGTGGGGGGAGCTGCAAGGCCTTTTAAGTGTTTCTATTTAAAGGGCTGGCGCCTTCCCTGTGCCTGTCAGGCAACGCTTGCCTAGCAGCTGTGGGGAACATAAGAGCCCTTTGAATAACAGCTGAAAGGGCTTGCAGCTCCCTGAACCTCTAGTGTGTTGCCGGAGATATGGGATCCCTTTGAGCTGTTTCTATTTAAACGGCTCTCGTGTTCTCTGCAGCTGCTAGGCCACGAGTTGCCTGACAGGCGCAGGGAAGGCGCCAGCCCTTTAAGCAGAAAGGCTTAAAAGGGCTAGCAGCTCCCATAGCCTCTAGCACGCTGCTAGGGAGCCAGAAACACGAGCCCTTTCAATTGTTTCTATTTAAAGGGCTCGCCTGCCCAGTGGCTGTAATGCCTGGAAGCCACCAGCAGGTGCAAGCCCTTTACACAGAAGCAACTGAAAAGAGCTCACAGCTCTGCCCCACTGTCCAGTTGCCTGAGAGCTGCCCAGAAGCTTGAGCCCTTTCAACAGCTTCTATTCAAAGGGCTTGTGCCTGCCGGGCAGCTGCTAGGCAACAAGTTAGAAGTGAGGAGCAGGAGCTGCAAGCCCTGTGATATGAAATCTAAGCCTCCAACCCCAGACAACCCAGCACCCTCCTCTCTGCACCAGGTCCCTTCCATTGGCCAGAAGTCAGGGGGCAGGGACCCCAGGCCAAGCACAGCTCCTGGTAGGGTAGCTCTCAATCCCACGTCTTCAGCCCCAGGTCTCACCCATCCCTCTTGCTGGATTCTGGAGCTTTCCTCAGCACCATCTTGCCCAGGAGCACAGCAGGAAAAAAAACTGTTTGGGCTGGTTAATGGTTTTATTTGGTGAGTGTCTTTTAATGAATTAATAAAGCACATGCATATACCATTCATTTCACTAAATATTCTAATTGAGGAAAAAAATAATTTGTGTTCTGAAGTGCTCCTGTGTTTCAAGGAGTTTCAAAAATATAGTTAATCATTGGAAATTTTAGCAGCTTCCTTCAAGAAGTAGCTTTGAATGCCCAATATCCTCTCTCTCTATAACTGGTTTTGATAAAAATATCCAGACGCCATTTTTATAGTCAAGTGTGGGAATCTTTTGTAACTCATAAAACCTAACTGAATATACTTAGAAGTTTCAGGGGGTAGCTGAGTTAGTCTGTACAGAAATAAACAACAAAAGGTCTGGTAGCACTCTATAGTTTTGTTACTCTATAAAGTGCTACCAGACCATTTGTTGCTGTTGTTTTTTTTAAATATACTTAGTGTGGATGGGAGGAAAAACAGGGACTTTGATACTATTTCATGGAATCATAGCTCTAGAAGTGGTCTCAAAGTCATTTAGTTTAGTCCTCTGCACTCATGGCAGGACTAAATATTAATTTTCAGTGCCCTATGTTTAGTGTTAGTGTTGTTGTTATTACAAATGTTACAAGTGTTCTCAAAATATTAGCGCTATTATTACAAATTTTTAGCCCCGCTGTGCCACCAGCTGGAAGCTGCCTGAGGTAAGCACCACAACGCAGTTGAACACTGCATCCTGATCTATGGAAGTTAAGTAACGGTTATTTTATTAGTCGAGTAGTCAATGGAATTTCCACTGACAATTCAATAGTTGATAGGCACTTCCACATTCCTCCTTTAAACATGTACAAGGCTCTTATACATTTCAAAGAAGGAATGCAGAACTCCGACCAGGGCCAGCAGGAAGTCCCACTGACTCCGGGCTATATGTGGGTGCCAGCTTTGAAATGTACGCACGAGGGGGGGGGGGGGAAATCGACTAGTCGACTAACTATCAATAAGCATTTGCTTATCAGATAGTCCACTAGTCCTTAACATCCCTATCCTGATCCCCCTCCTGCACCAAATTAGAACCCTCTCCCACACCCTAGCTCCCGCCCAGAGCCTGCATCCTGAATCCTCTTTCACACCCAAAACCCTTACCCCTCCTGCACCCAAACTACTTCCTGGAGCCTGCACCTCGTTCTGCATCCTAATTCCCTCCCAGAGCCCACACTCCTGCCCAGCCCTGATCCCCTTCCTGCACCCCAACCCCCACCTCAGGGCCCACACTCCCAGCTGGAGCCCTGGCCCTCTCTTGCATCCCAACTCCTCTGCCCCAGCCCAGTGAAAGTGAGTGATGGTGGGCGAGGGTGAGCAACAGTGGGTGAGTAAGTGAGGGGTGGGAACCTTTGAGAAGGGGCCGGGCAGGTGTGTTTGATTTTGTGCAAGTAGAAAACTGGAACTCATACTATGATACTTCAAAAACATGTATTTATTTAAAAACATTTTGTATTTTTAAAATAATCTAATGAGATTGTACTGTGATCAGATGAGCTAGGAGACTTTTAAAAAATAAACTACAGGTACTGATGTGCTGATGAGATACCAGGGCAAAAAGCCTCCTGCTGCAAGTGGCCTGTGTAAACTACGATCTGAAGCGATAAATATGTAAACGGAATGAAGACATTTTGCAACAGACAGAAAAATAACGGAAGGCAGCAAGAGCCAGATTTTTTTTCCTGCTTAACAGAACAAAACATTCCTTTATGTTATTAACACCTGGAATTATAACCATCAGGTATGTTGTTTGTTAAAACAAGTCACAGCTAGTAGCCTTTACACACACGAGGTTACTAATTTTGGTTACCTTCAGCTTCCTTGACATGCAGATACTGAGCATGCTCAGGGATTTTTTTTTAACTGATATGTAACTCACCAGTAGCTATGGCCCAGTAAACTTCTGATCCATTCAATAACTCACCACATGCTATGGCAGAATAAACAGGTGATCCCGGAACTTGAAGTAAAATTCGAAATGGAGCAACACGTGCATTAGAATCTAGCACTGCATCCAAGGCACCTACCAAACGACCTGAATACACAGAAGAAAGAAGAATATTTTTTAACAACAAGAGCACTGAGACAAGTGTATCAATATTCAACCTCAGGTTTAACACCCTCAAATTAAGCACAGAACAAAAACTATAACAAAGCTCTCTAACAAAGGCTTATAAAATGGAGATGTGTTTAAATGCATCAAAAACTAGACGGCCAGGCAGACCAATCGGAAGACCATTTTTTTACACTTCTAGTTGGTTTATTATGTCATGTGTTCATATAACTAACAGAAGCTTTGAAACCTAAGCTATGGTTAGAATGCATAAATGTGTTATTCAGAACAGTCTCAAACACATTATGTCTCAGATTCTATTTCATAATAACTGGCTCCTGAGTAAAACAAATCTTAGCATATTACACTGCTGTCTCTTTGAACTGAAGTTATCAATTTTCAGGTGAAAATATGACAAAGAAAATACCAAACCCTCTCCAATGATTACAGGGAAAATAATCAGAAAAAAAATTAAAAATCCTCCATTTTTAATATGTTTATTCCCCTGCTGCCTCAGAAAAATGTCTAATTTTGTACAAAGGTCCTAAAACTCTGTATTTTGTCAACACCACCACCACAATTAGGAGTATCTATGTGTCTATATCCTGTCACCAGAGCAAGCTGTAGGGCCACTGCATAGCACAATCTAGCCTGCAAGCTTCATAATATTTAAGATCACGTGAATAACAAAGAAAGAAACAGCACAGAGATTATTTTTTTTCAACCCAATATTAAGTCTGTGAGTAGGGATTTTTTTAAAGTATTTAGTGTAGGACTAATCCTGATCCATTTAAATCAGTGGCAGAAGTTAGACAACGCACTTCTGAAAACCCTGATAAAGATCAGACTTGTAAAATATGGTAATTTTTAACATATACAAGAAATGAACCTATACAATGAAGCCATAAAAGTACATGGGAAATTAACGTTATTTATCCTGTTCCTCAGTTTGTTCAACTTAAATTCCCTTTTCTGTTCTTGAATGACTGATCACAGCAGCCTATTCCTCTTTTCACATTCTACTTCTGCTTAACACTTCCACAGCGTTCACTGCATGTAATGAAAAAGTTTCCAGCTGAATACAAGTACTAAATAAATCAAAATAATAAATGCCAACCACAACCCTCCAGAACAGCCAGGCTAGCCACAGTTTAAATATTATAAAAACAAATTGAAAAGCCAAAACTAAGAAGAATCAATCAAGCTCCAATGATGATTCACTAGAATCTCTCTTAAGTCTCCATCTTCAATTAAGTTTTATATTTTCAAAATTAGTACAGTAAACTTCCAATGATCCGGCACCTTTAGGACCCAGGGGGTGCCGGATTATCATAAATGCCGGACTATCAGAAGGGGGGGGCTATGAGGGGTCTGGGGTGGAGGGGGGGGGGGAATGTGCCCCTCGGTGCTGCGGGACCAACCCAGGGGCTGACTACAGGAAGCCCGAGGCAGAGTTGCTCTGCCCCGGGCTTCCTGGAATCAGCCGCTGATCAGTTTCAGCAGCAGCTGACTCGGGGATGCCTGGGGCAGAGCAGCTGGGGTACTGCCGGGTTGGTCCCGCAGAACCGAGGGGTGGCGCTAAGGGACCAACCCAGCAGCACCCCAGCTGCTCTGCCCCTGGCTTCTCCAAGTCAGCCGCTGGTCAGTTTCAGCAGCGCCTGAATCGGGGAATCCAGGGACAGAGCAGCTCCAATTGTCCGGCTGCCCGGAGCACTTCCGGGTTCCAGGTGGTGCCAGACCATCAGGAGTGCCGGACCACTGGAGGCTGGACCACTGGAGTTTTACCATACTATACATGAGGCGCCTCACAAAACTTGCATTATGTCCATAGAAAGACTTCCATAAGCTTACCTGGGATTTAGATTAGGCCCCAATCTATTTTTAATTTGGATAGGACAGCAGGAGCTTTCTAGTTTTACAAGTACGAATGCTGTCTAGATTTCTGATCTCAAAAATACATCGATGAAGCACCATAAGCAATGTAAGCACACTTCACACCTGTATTTTCATTATTTTTTCCATGAGAGAAAAATATTAAGTATTTAGTACAGGCTGTAAAAATGTCCTAGTTTAATATAAAAGTATAATCATTAATCTTTCTGAAGTAGCCTCATTACTAGGCTTTAGCTAACATCTATTTTTGAGGAACTGCCACGACTTGAGTTGAAATGTACCTGAATAAGCTCTAAATATAGATCTTTCAATAATTAATCAGTGAATGCTATAAAAACTATGTGCAATGTTAGCCAAAACTTGTAGACGAATCTGGTAAAGGTTGAGTACAAAGTTTAATATTAAAGAAAGGAAAGCTACTGAAATTATTCTTAACTCTAAACACTGCTTAATGCTTGTAACACACAAGTGCTTGAATTTTAAAATCAATATTTTATTTATATTTATTAAGTTTCTGATAGAGCACCCTTTAAATAGCATTTACTTATTTAAAAAAAAAAAAAAACTTTATTTTTCCTATATTTTACACACAAAACATACTCCACTCTTCTGTTGATAGGTAAGGGTCTTTTTAACCAGGAAGAAACTGATTAACTTTCACAGGGAAAAGCAAATCTCACTAACTATAAAAACCCTATAGAACAAACAAACTAGAGAAAAAAAGAAAAATATTTTGCTAACTTTATTATAATAATAATCATCATTGGTCTTTCTTGATATTATGTATATATAAAAAATTTCAGAATATGATAATCCAGTTCAATGCATTTAAAAAAAAACCTGCTAACCTTGTTTTTGAAGCTGAAAAATTGAAATACAACACAAAACCATTCAGGAGAAAAATAAAGCCCATCAGGAATAACATTAAAATGATTTTGTACTGCACTGCAGAAAGCTACAGCCACAGGTTGTTCTAGTCTGATTTCAGAATCCAGTAACAGATCGTCTCATGAACATCACAAGAGTTTTCATGATTTTATCAAGATTATAAGGAACACTGAAGTTCAAGGGGAAGGTCAAAGTTCAATGTAGATGTCTGACAAAGCTGGGGGAGGAAGGGAGAAGAAAATTGCTTTTATGTTATAAAATCAGTTTGTGTTCAACAACATGAACATTCTCCCTGGACATGGGATTTCAAAGCAAGAAGGAAAGTATTTATCTTGTATTCTTACAAAAACAATCAGCTCTCTAAAACAAAATGTGAACTAGCGCATCTAGACTTAAAAACTAGTTCGAATTAGCGTTTTGCTAATTCGAATTAGCATGTCCACACAGAGTGGACCCTGAACCGGGGTTAAGGATGGCCGGAAGCAGTGCCGGCAGGGCATCAGATGAGGACTTAGAGCGTGGAGCTGCTGTCTCAG